TTTTATGTAGGTATAACCCCGTTTATTAAGGCGCTATACTATAACGCCTTAATAAACGACGCTATACTATAACGCCTTAATAAACGACGCTATACCTTTTCGCTCTTTTCAAGTTCACGTATAACGTCATTTTAAATAGCGCTGTATCTTAACGGGCAAACGTTTGTTAAAGTATAGCGCCCTTTAAAATGACGTTATACATATTTTGGTCATTATTTTATTTTTCCATGCATTTCGATCGTTTGAGTCAAAAAATACTACATTTTAGTTCCGGGCTCTCCAAACTGATAAGAGAGAGGAGCTGAAAGGGAATAAAAACAAAGACCTCGAGCATTGGAAGCTATACCATTTTTATATGTTTGAATTCAACATTTCCAAAAATTGGAAAGGCAAGACATTGTACCCTATAAGCTATGGTAGTTATGAGTAGGGTTAGTAGTGTCAAAAGTTGACATCTCAAAAACAGTTAAAAAAAAAAAAAAGGTATTAAAAAGATTCCCCCATCACTGCTTTGACCTAGTCAATGAGACAATGAAAAATAGGAGCAGAAGAAAAGAAGAGATCCATAACAGAATTTGTTAATTTTTTTTTGGAGGTGCTAGAAACCAAGTGTTGAGGAATGGGCTGTTTCTTTTATATCCACTGCAATATAATTGTTTCTTTAATCAAAGTTTGCTGCATTGGGGTTGTGGGTTTTGCAGACACTGGCCATTATTATTCAATTGTTTGCTCTCTGATTATTAAAGCTATGTTTTTTTTTGGACACAAGTGCAAACCACAAATCCAATATAAGACCCTTTGTGCATGCAGCTCAGTCTATAACTTTTGGATAAATTGTCTCACTTTGAAATTGAGAAGAGAATAATAACTATTACTACCTCAATTCTAAGCAAGTTGAGTTAGTTATATGAATTCTCACTGTCTGAATCACTCAATTTAAGTTTATCTTATAGTTTATTTGGCCAAAAGTATTTTTTTTTTTTTCCAAAAGTAATTTTTTCCCAAAGTCAAAGTGTTTGGCCAAACTTTTGAGAAGCAAAAACAGTTTTTTCAAAAGCATTTTGAGAAAAAAATACACTTAAAAATACTTTTTAAAAGTTTGACCAAACATTAATTGCTACTCAAAAGTATTTTTTAAATTATTTAGTCAAACATAAATTGCTTCTCACCAAGCACTTTTGAGAAAAAATACTTTTCAAATAAGCTTATTTTAGAAGTTTGACCAAATATGCTATTTATCTAATTTATAAAAAATAGTTTTTCTACCACTAAAATTTGCCATATTTTCTATTAGTAATAAAGTTCCAACAAGATTAAAGAACTCCTTGGATATATTTGACCTAAAGTAAATGTTCTAGTTTGATTTAGCTAAAATTCTAGCTTGTGGAATTACAATTTACATTGTGCTAAATAACAATAAAACATATGATAATATCATCTCTTTTTTCTGTTTTCCGTTGCATTACCTTTTCATTTTCCTAATACATATTTTTCTCCTCATTCATAAATAAAGGCGAAATTGTAGAGCAAATTTGGCTGAAAATGAAAAAAAGTAGTGAACGCCGTCTGTGGGAATCGAACCCACGACCACATGGTTAAAAGCCATGCGCTCTACCAGCTGAGCTAAGACGGCTTGTTGTCAGTTAGTTATTCATTTAATTAATATACTAATGTATTACTAACCACGTGGATCATTTGAGTTAGACAAGTGTCAGTTACTGAAGTTCAGTATTTGCAAAATACTCACAATTAGACTAGTGTTTGCAAATATTAAAACGATTTAAAGGTTCACCAATTTCATGCATTGTGCATATTTTTTGCTTTTTATTTGACTTATATTTTATTTTTGCTTTTTGGTGTAAGTATTTTCCATCTATATATTCCTATCTACAGAGGCGGATGTAGTGTATTACCTACGGGTTCAACTGAACCCATAACTCTCGACGCAGAGTAAAAATTTGTAAGTAAAAATTCATTAAAATTGTAAAAATAATAGATTTGAACCCATAACTTTTAAAATATAATGAGTTCAATGCTAAAAATTTTAAAATTAAACCCATATAATTTAAATCTTGGATCCGCCTCTGCATGTCTAGCATTTTTAATTAGTCTATTTTTTATCCCTTTAAAGCCTCTTTAACATACATTTCAGATTTATGCATCAAATTTAGCTAGCGTTTGAACATAAAATTGGTTGAAACTTGAAAAGAATGAGTTTTTCTAGATGAAATAAAAAATAATTTTTGAAAGTTAAAATTGTGTTTAACATGCATATTACTTGAAAAGAATTTAAAGTTTTATGAGTAGAAAACTTCAAAAACTACTTTGGAGCTATTTTTGGAATTTGAAAATTTTGTTTTCAAAATCTGCCAAAAATGAGTTAAATTCTATTAAAAAAAACAGATATTTGAAAATAAATTTGAAAAAAACTCTCAAATTTTATGGCTGAACAGGAACTTAAGTAGTAGTGTATTTTTTTTTAACCTTTGGTCACTGATAGTGAAAAGCAAAATAAAAAATAAAAAAAATCAAGTAGTATTTGTCACTTGTGAATAAGTAGCAATTTGACCATAGAGTAGATCTAGTGAACCAACAGTCATAGTATGGAACATAGATAGAAAAATAACCAAATAAATAAAAGAAGTCAAATAAACTTTTTTCCCTTTTTCTTTGGGAAAGGGAGTGGGGCATTGTTTAACTTGGATTTATTATCAGATTAAGAGGCATTCAAAATATTTTTTTCCCCTCTAATTTCAATGAAAATAACAATTCAGATATTTTTGCTTAAGTTTTGGTGAGCAGAATTATTCCATACCTAAATTATAACAAATATTCCATAAAATAGTCGAGCTACACAAAAGTTGATCTGAACATTGTTAGAAAAAAAAAAAAATAGTCCGTTACACAAAATATCCTGTGTTCACGCAGGTTTCGGAAAGAACTGCACCCCAAGGGGGTGTGACGTAGGCATCCGACACTAATGCAAACATAAATTGCTAATTCCAAGACTCGAACTAGGTCACGCGGCGACAAATTAACAAAGTCTTATTCCATAGCTCGATCCAAACATTGCTGTTACTAGAAAAAAAAAGATAGAAAAGTTTCTGACATTTTCTACATTTTTTATAAGCTTTTATGTCTTGGCATCATCTCCACTTTAAAGAACCTCTGCTCTTCCCTCTAACATTTTGCTCAGCTCCCCATAAGCATCTTCACACACACACACACACACACACACAGAGAAAACAGTGAGAGAGAAAGGAAAAATAAAAGTAGACTTAAGACTCCTGTCTTTTGCTCACATTAAATGGCCACAAATCCTCCTTCATCTTCATCATCTAAAATCAAGAATGCAGATGAAGAAGACTACATAGATATAGAAGTAAGTTCTTGTACAAGTTCTTCTCCACAAAGTAGAGAATTTGAGTTTCAAATGTCTTCTATTTCCATTGACAAAGAAATTACCACAACTTCACCGGCTGATGAACTTTTCTATAGAGGCAAACTCCTCCCTCTTCATCTCCCTCCAAGGTTAGAAATGGTCCAAAAACTTCTTCACACCTCAAAGTTAGAAACTTTTCAAGAAGAAGAAAGATTTAGCATTAATTCCAAGAATTTGATTAATGCGTACAATAAACCCTTCTGGTCCTACTCTTCCCCGGACCCCAAGAATAACGGGAGCTTAACGCACCGGATTATTAGTTCTACTGCACCTTGTACTAATACTAGTACCCCATTTGAGTCGTGCAATATTTCCCCCTCAGAATCTTGTAGAGTGAGTTGTGAACTTAATCCAGATGAGTATTTTTTTCAATGGTCAACTGAATTCAGTAATTTTATGAATGACCATCCAAAGAAAACTTGGTCCAAGAAACTTAAGTTAGTTAAACAATCATTAATTAGTCAAAAGATTAAGGCTTCAAAAGCATATCTTAATCTTAAGTCTTTGTTTAACAAGTCTGCTTGTTCAGATGAGACTGATCAACAAGTTTTTAGTACTAAAGATTGTGAAAATAAGTATATTAAAGTATCTAAGAAAACCCCATTTGGCCATATTGGAAAATGTACACAACCAACATTAGCTAGTGTGATAAGAAATATTGAGAAAGAAGGGGTTGAAGATAATGTGAATAGTCATAGGAAGTCATTTTCAGCAGTAATTAAAAGACATTCTCCGACTAAATGTTTGTCTTCCTCTTCATCTAATGGTTCTTCTTCTTCTTCATCATCTTTATCATCTTTTTCATTGAATTCTAATGGTTTTTATGAGTTGAATTTGCTTAAGAGAAGTAGTAGTGCAAATACTGAGATTGAGGGTTCAATTGAAGCTGCTATTGCTCATTGTAAGAAGTCTCAAGAGCTTTGTAATCCAAAGAGGAGATTGATTGAAGCAGGGATTAATTCAATGTCAATTTCAAAGATTGCAGCTACTGAGATTCAAGAAAGACCAGATCTTTGCAGATTTTGAATAAGTTTCCTTTTTCTTTTGCTTTTCTTCTTTTTCTTTTTTTTTTGTTACTTTTAAAGGACACTATAAAATTCCTCAAATAGAAAAAAGAAAGTTTTGGAGAGGAATGAATTTGTAAAACTGGTTTCTTGCTTGAGTTTGCAGATTATATGTAATTAATTCATTGTTTTTAGTGTGTATAATTCATTGAGCCAATGTAATTTTTTCTTATTTTGGTCTTCCTAAATTATATTGAATTGTGTTGACTGCATCATTTAAAAGTTTAAACGGTTTAAATAAATATTTTTATTTATTTTATTAATTATATCTTTAATATGCCCCTCGCTAATAATTGATTTGTATAATCGTCTTAGTTAAGGACTTAAAGCTGTTAGAGAAAACACACTTTTCTTTACTTAATTATGTTTTCAACGGAGGTTCAACGGAGGAGAACCTTGGAGCAAGGTCAAGTTATCTCTGTGTGATCTATAGGTTACATGTTCGACGTGGAATCAACAACTAATGCTTACGTCAGGTAGGTTGCCTACATCATACTCCCTTGGAGTGTGAACCTTCTCCAGACCCTACTTGAACGCGAGATACTTTATGCACTGAATTGCCCTTTTCAATTATGTCTTCAACAAAGTTTAGATGGTTTAATTCAATTTTGTTGTTAGTTGTTCATATACATTCATGCTTTGTTCATACTAACAAAGAATGTGGCGGAGTGTTAAAGTAATTTTTTATCTTTATTTACGAGACATCACGATTTAATCAAGCCCAAGATGCGTGGCGAGAAACCAAAAGAAAACCTTTTTACAAGAAGTGATAAACTTTCTAGTAGAAAAGGGTACTATAGAAACTACTCTTTTTAGTAGACAGTGGGCTTTTTACAAACATCTTTTTCCACAACTAGATTCTGCTCCACTTTTTCTCACGGTTTATTAATCATTCAAATGCTATGGACTCTGCCAATTTATATTGTACTATTGTACAATTTAAGTATAGAAGTGAGGAATCTCTCAACTTTTACTAAAGGTAAAGTGAAAGCTGTTATTTTTCCTTTTTACAATATAAAAGTTTGGTTCAGACTTCAGAGTATTAGCAAAAAGTATTCAAGTCCTTTACATAAAAATTTGTAAAAGACTGAGTGATAAAAGTAATTTAAAGAACTATGACCCCCACCCCAACGTGCAAAGGAAAAAAGTTAAGAGAGTGGTCTTCAACTTAAAAAAAAAGGAGCTCCACACGTAAGACATTTTGCATTCGTACAGAATTTGTGGAAGGACGACATCTCGAGCTGTGACGTAGACAACCTAATTTTGATGCAAGCATTAACGCTTATAATTCTCTCTTCCATTTCCTCTTTCGGTCTCTCTCTCTCTATATATATATCAAAATAGGTCTCGAAAAAATAATAAAAGGGTTATGAAAATAATTTTCCAACTTTACTTCAAATAGTGTATTATGTTCATTTTCATGGGCTAATGTAAAATTTATCTTTTTGGTTACGCTGAGGAAATTGGCAACATGATGTACATTGATTCTTTTTCATTATTTAGAGTTAATTTTAGATCAGCTAGAAATTTATAAGCACTGTATTTCCTTAAAATACTTCACTCACATCTAAAGTTTACACTAAACAAATGAATGTATTACGTACGTCTTTACATAGATCGGTGTTATCACTTGTCATAATTATTATAATTATCACTTAACAATAATAAATTAATATGATTTACTGTAAATAATGTTTTGTGGAGGAAGTGTTTATCGAGATGATGCTACGATATATTGAATACAACATACTCCTTATTTTTCATTTTATATCACTCTTTACCTTTTAGTTTATTCCAAGAAAAATAACATATTTTTATATTTTAAAAATAATAATATTATAACATATTTAAAATTATAAATTCTAAAAATACTTTTGTTATGTATCAGGAGTCCTTTTTTTCCTTTTTAATTAAATACCGTCAGTAAAAAATAAAACAATGTAGTGCGTTAACAAGCATGCAGGGACCACTTGATAATGACAAAGATAATCCTAAAGATCTTCATTATTTCATGCTTAAGTCTCCACTGACTTGACTATCTGTGCCACTTAAAATTAAGGTTTATTGTCTAGCAAGGCTATTTGATAGGCACAAAATATCCTTGAAATATGCACATTTTAAGATGACCATCATTGCAAAACCTTTTTCACTTACTCTCTATTATTATATATACTCCCTCTGTATACAATAAGTAATTTTTTTGACCTTTTTTTTGGGGTCCAAAATAAGTGATTTTTTTAGATTTTAAAAATAAATTAATTATTTTTTTCCTACATTACTCTTGGTGTAAATAATGTTGGAGTACGTGTTAGGGGTATTTATGTAAAGAGATAGTAAAGATTAATATGGTCAATTTTATTGCTAATTAATGTTAAAAGGTGAATTTTTTAATCTATATGAAAATATCTAAAAAAATTACTTATTGTGGACAGGAGTGAGTATATGCCATAGACAATTACCTTTGGGCATCATCATTTCCTATGTGAGCATCCCCAACAAACACTAGCTTAAGCAAGTTCAATTCAAATTAGAATTATTAGAGAAAAAGGCAGTTCGATGCATTAAGTTCTTATTATGCACGGGTTCGAAGAAAAGCGATCATATTGTGTCTATTAATCGCATTCTTATCTTATGTTTTTGCAAGAAGTTATTTTTATGGTTTGAACTCATGATCAGTGGCGGATTTAGGCTCAAATTTATGGGACATATGAACCCATGGTCTTTCCTTCAAACTACATGTTTTATATACATATTTATGAGAATTGATCTAATATTATCCGTTGACCCCTATGAGCTAAGAAGGTTTGATGGTACACTTGGTTAAATATTGAGTTATTTATCCAAAGGAAGAGGGATCAATTCCCGCTAAGTTATTCTTTTTTAGTAGTGCATCCATGTTATAAAAATCCTAAATTCGGCTCTGCTCGTGACCTCCTAATCAAATGACGATAACTCTTAACATTGCGCGAAGACACCCTTCTAACCTTTGATATTGACAAATCAATACTTTAGGAAATCTTGGATTCCTGGTGTTTTAGTAAGGGCCCGTTTGGAAATTAAAAAAATTCACTTTTTTTTTGAAAAAGTTTTTATTTTTTTTCGAAATCAATGGTTGGCCATAAATTTTTAATTTTCACTTGAAGATGAATTTCGAAATTTTTCGAAAATTTAAAAAACTCCAAAAACCTCTTTTTCAAAATTTTTGACTTCAGATCACTCGCAAAATTTAAAAAACAATCCAAAATTATATTTATGTCCAAACACAACTCTATTTTTCAAATACTATTTTTACTTGAAAAAAAAATTTCACTTTTTTCGGAACTTTACAATTCTTATGTCCAAACGTCCACTAAGTCTAGAAATAACAAGTATCATAGAGAAGCAAACAAAATGTCAATAAATACTTCCGGGAATAATAGTCATCAACGTCAACAATAACCGGGTCCTAATTCCAAACAAATTAGATTTATTTGAATCAGTCTAATTTTGTAAAGTTTTGTTTTTTCTAATAGTACTAAAAGTTCTTTAATTTATGTTTTCTAGTGGCATATAATTAAGTCTAAGATAGACTAAACGACTCTTAGCGAAATACTCTCTTCGGTTCACAATAAATAATTATTTACTTTTTTATTTTGATCCAAAATAAGTGTCCATTTACGTAATCAAGAAGGAATTAATTTTATTTTTTCAAAATTTACCCTTATTTACATATTTCAATGTGTCAAAGTAACAATTAATTAAGGTTAATTTAGTGAATACATCTTTTTTCTCTCCAGGAGTTCGTATTTTTTTAATGGGTATGTCATAGGTAAAACAATCACTTATTATAGACCGGAGTGAGTATGACCTAAACATTAATCTCAATTCGTTGGTATCACCCGTATATATCTTTTTCTTCCGTCGTGTCTTATTTTTAACGAAATCTGCATAAATTTTAAGAGATTGTAGGTTTTTTGGACAACTTCCTTCTAATAGTCATTTCAATTTTTTATGCATTCTCGGAGTTTTAGTAGATTTGAAAACAGCATCATCGCATTAACTCATGGCTATTATTCTTAAAATCTTATACTGTAAAGTATAAAACAATTATTGGGTGTGTGAACAAAGTCCCACATAGAAAATAGAAAAAAAAATGATCTACTTATAAGTAGTTGAATACTTTTAATGGTGTGAGGCTTTTTGGGTAAAACCGTGCAGGCTTGACCCAAAACAGACAATACCACACCATACTAAGAGTATTTTTAGACAGATTTAGCCCAACAACAATGTCTATGTACAATCATATTTTGTTGGTCATTAATTCTCAAAGAAGAAATAGTGAACATTAATTGAGAATCAGTTGGACCCTTTGTTCTGTGTTTTATTGTTAATGTTCATTCTCTTTCAAAAGTTTTGAACTCCTTTTAGTGCTGGAAGAACAGTTGAATTATGATCCTGGACAGTGACATTTCTTGCAGAAAAAAAAAAGAAAAATATATGTGCATGTATCTAAACTAAAAAGGGATATCAGCAGCTTCAATAGGACCAGTTCAATAGTGTAGTATGTGGTGTAATGTCTAGATTTTGGGAGATAAAAAAGCAAGAATTGTTTTTTTGAGGATAATATATCTGCACTAACATTATCTAAAAGCCATATATTGAGTAATGTAATTTAATCTATTAGGGTCGTTTGTTAGGATGAATAAGCAAAAATAATTATGAGATAAAAATTTCAGTACCGCCTTATCTCTTGTTTGGTTACTAATCCTGGGATAAGTTATCCGAGGGTTAAAAATAGTAACGGGATAACTTATGCCATATGGTGGAATAGTAATCCCAAAATAAGTTATCCCATGATAAAACAGCAAAATTAATCCCAAGATTAAAAACAAAATACCAGAGTCAATACAAAATAATACCAGGATAATTAATCCCAACAAAATTAATCTCAGTATAACTAATCTTAGCATAACTAATCGCAGCATAACTTATCGTTAAATCAAACGACCCTCAGTATACTACAACACAAGGATGATATAATTAGATGTGTACTCAAGTCCAAAAGTTACTAATCTTGGAAACTAGAAGAAGTTTGATGTGGAAAAATGCCAATCACAAATTTTATGTCATGTCAATATTCTATAGCCCAAGCAATGGAAACCAAAACTGGAGACAACTGAAAAGAAGTTAGTATATGAGACAACATATAGAGATTGGTTGTGATTACCATGTGGCAATAGCTTTTGGAATTTGTTTGGGAGCTTTTGGCTCTTTCAGTTCAGTCTCATTTCAATTTCCTCTACCCACTAAAAATCAAATTTTCACTAAATAAAGGTAAGAAAATATGGCTGAATGCATTTGAGGAAGGTCTGAATCTTAACGTCAAAAAATTCATGTTCCCTAGACAACTCGAATCGAATTAGAATATAGTAGGAGTACAGAACATTTGTTTTCCTTTTTTCAAACAAATAGTAGCAATACTATGAAGCTATAACAGTTTTAGTATGTCATTAATAGGTGATCCGCGAATGTACCATATATATTATGATTCTTTTGAAGTTATACAGATTTTATAAAACAAATGCCACGCGAAGCATGTCACAAGACATGTAGCTCCCAAGGGTTCGGTTGTTCAACAATTCAAGTGGTATATGAGTTGGATTTAGAACAGTTCGGTTCCTATCTATCTCTAGGTCATGCTCTTCTTCATTTAAGGAGTACTATGATTTGATCACAGTAGTAAAATGCTCAAAATTCTAGGAGGGCATAAAATTCTATACTTCACTTATCTTGCTCATATACTACATTGTTTTTCACTTGGACAAAGCTAGCAGCTACCAGTAGTAAAGTGCTCATAATTCTAAGAATGGCATAAGATCCTGCACTTTCAATTATGTTGCTCATATACTACACAAAAACTAGCAGCTACTACATTGAAGCTTGAAAGGGAGCCTTAGAACAACGATAAAGTTGTCTTCATATGACCTATATGTCACGGGTTCGAGCCCTGGAATCCTCTGATGCTTGCGTTAGGGTAGTCTGCCTAAATCACACCTTTTTGGGATGCGGCCTTACCGGGCTGCCTTTTTTTACTATATTGAAGCTTGAAGTGTAAGGATCATTTATTATTACACAAGAATATACAGGCTAATCGCAAAATACAAGGCGTGGAAGAACTAAATAGCATAGAGTTTCTTATACTCATCATCCGCGATCTCAGATTCTGACATAATCGATATGGACCGTGACAAGGACTTGCTACTCCGAGCTGACTTGCGCAAACTTCTCAAATTTGAAGACTCAATCCGGTGCATAACTACCCAATAACACAGTGTCCCTAGTGTTGTAACCATGATAAAAGTTCCCATAAAAGTTACTGCAGTTGCCATCCATCTCTCTTCTTTACCTACAACAATATAAGACAGTGCAAGAAAGGCTACAGACACAAATGCACAAGCCAACCACATTAGCTTGTTGATAATCGACATCATTTGCTTCTTGGCTCTTCTTTCAACGACTACGATTGATGTTTGAACCACCACAACAGCTAATGATATGAAGAGTGCAAGAGAGTCGAATATGAAGAAAATTGCAAAAGGGAGTTGAGGAGCAATATTTCCTTCTCCTAATAAGTATCCAGGAGGAATATGCTCACGGTTATCAACATATTGGCCTGGTAGATTAAATATGGCAGCAAAAGCAACAGTGGCAATAAGAACTGCGACGACTGTGGTGGAATTTATTGCATTATTGAGCCCTTCCGAGTGCATTTTGTTCAGACGTTTCGCTATGTTTTTCACTCTCTTTTGTGTTTGAAAAGTGTGCTCAAGCTGATTGTGAACATCATGTTTTATGTCACTAACGGTTTGTTTCAGTTCTTTGGCTGAACGCGTTGGTAATACTAGCTTCATGTTCTTTGCACTTAGAATACCATGTTCCTTTAGAATTGTTGCTATCTCTGATTGCCTTCCTTTCTCAGCAATGTCAAGAGCAGTCTCACCAGATTTATTGATGACGTCCCACTTCATCCGCTTGTCCTTTACCAATGCTTGAACAATCTGCATGAGATTATGATAGTTAGTCGACGATTTGAAACACTTTCCCTTACCAATACATGGTAAAAGTACATGCTCAACCAAATGTCCTACACAACCAAGTATTTGCATGACCAATGTATTTCCCTTTAATTCATTAGAATTCTGGGGTGCAAATCGCAAACCAGATGCTAAACCGGGACACTCTTTGGAGTCATAAACTCTGTCTATTTTTAATGGTAGGGGGTAAAACAATACAAAACTTACATGTTGCATATTGATGGCATATCGGCACAAAAATAAGCCTATGTTATTATCAACTTCTAATTACTAGAAATACTACTTATGTTTGCTTCTGGTGATACTGATAAGAGATGTTTGCAGCATTCATTTACGTCTCTTTCCGAGAGTTCTAAAGTATATTTATTGGCATGAGAAAAAGAAGATAACATTATAAGAGAGACTAAGAAGGGCGTGCAACTCAGGGGCGAAGCTACACTCTAGTAATTGATCACCCTTCGTCGGAAAATTATACTGTATATATAGGTAAAATATTAGGTTTTAGAGGTATATAACATATATTGAACACTCTTTGTCGGAGATGTTTTTACTTCTTTGAAGTTTGAACACCCTTGGGGAAATTCCTGGCTTCGCCACTGGTCCAGCTTACAACATCTATGTTGAGCTTTTGAAAAGAAGATTGTTCTGTGTGTTCATATGAACATAAAATAAACATGTAAAATATTTGACTCTGTGGCAATTATAGAACATATGGAACTACATAACATACATGTGGCAAATAAGCTTTCAAGTATAATCTGTATTCAGATGGAATTACCACAGTTTGAGTATCAGAACAAAGTGTTTAGCTTATGTGTCAGAAGTCTTTTTCTTTCTTAAATCCGTGTTCAGTCTGAACGGAGCCTTGGCGTAACTGGTAAAGTTGTTGTCATGTGACCAGGAGGTCACAAGTTCGAGCCGTAAAAACAGCCTCTTGCAGAAATGCAGGCTAAGGCTGAGTACAATAGACCCTTATGGTCCGGCCCTTCCCCGGACCCCGCGCGTAGTGGGAGCTTAGTGCACCGAGCTGCCTTTTTTTTAAAATCCGTGTTCTGTCCAACACCGCCAAATAAAATGAAATGCAAGTATAACATACATATGAAAAATTACCTCTACGCGGCCTTTTCGTGTTGCAATATGCAGAGCAGTATTACCCTTTCCATCAATAATTGTAACCAAAGAAGGATCTGATTGAATAAGCTCATTAACAACATCAACACTTTGGCCTTTAACTGCCATATGAAAAGCAGTTTGGCCCTTTTTATCTCTCCAATTTAAGATCCCTTCTTCTTTGCTTAAAAGTGCCTTTACAACTGCAACATGACCATTTCTTGCTGAAGAATGAAGTGCTGTTTTCCCATTGTTCTTTGGTATTGTGGCTAAACTGCTATTAGTCTCCAAAAGGAAATTGACCACATTAATATGGCCTTGTGCAGCTGCAGTGTGAAGTGCTGTGGAATTTGACTGATCAAATGTAACTGAAAGCTGAGGAAAAACTTCCAATATTACCTTCACCATTTCTGCAACAAAAATTCAATCTTTTAGTATCTTGATCAAAGCTTCATTACTAGTTGTTAATTTATAATTACTACAAAGGATAAAAGGAAAATCAAATTTATAAAACTTAACATCAAGGGAACTTCCATCATTTGTTTTTTCATTCATTAAGAGGTTTTTTTTTTTTTTTTAAAATTAACGATGGTGTCGACCAACTTGCACGCACCTCTATTATTCTACTGCTACCTGCTAGCTCCACCAATATAGGTATCGGCAGTGGTGAAGCCAGAAATTTCCCGAAGGATGTTCAAACTTGAAAAAAAAAAAAAAAAATCCCGATAAAAGGTGTTCAATATATGTTATGTACTTCTAAAACCTGATATTTTCCATATATATGCAGCGTAATTTTTCGACAAAATGGTGGTCAATTGACCACCCTCCCCAAAGTGTAGCTTCATCCCTGGGTATCGGTTAACTTTGACCACCAAAGTTTAGGCAAATGGAAGGAAAACACCCGGTTTAGTTTTTATTTCTATTAGATTTGAACCTAATTTCTCACAGTTTTCACCTACTTAATTCACCGTTAGGCCACACCATTGGCGCTTATTATGTGAAATTCTATAACTTCATAGATAGACAGGATAATGAAAAACCAGTTAAATAAATACTTAGTACTTACCAAAATCACCCTGTTTAGCAGCAACATGAAATGCATCATAACCATTTCTTGCCTTGATACTAGCTGATCCAATATCATAATACTTACTCATCTCCTTCACTAACTCCACATGACCATATTCAGCAGCAACATAAAGAGCAGTTTCAGCAGACTGATTCTGCTTAGACATTAATTCTACCAATTCTCCTTCTACACAGCCATTGATTATCTCCAAAGCCAATTCAAGATTCCCACCTCTTACCACTGAATGAAATTCAGTGTCTCCTCTTTTCCCTGTTAACTGTTTTGTCATCTTTTTTCCAGAAAGTTTTTGCTGCCCAACAGAAGATGCCATTTTTCTCAGGCTCTAAGCTGAAAATTTCAACAGTTTCTTAAAAGTTTTCCCCTTTATGGTATCAAAGTCTTTTAAGTCAAAATGTAACATGGGGTGCTCTAATTTTTAACTAATCTATATGACATGGACAAACTACATCTTTTTCAGGCTAACACGATAAAAAGGCAGGCCTTTGCATTAATCTTTCGCTATACACGGGTCCGGGTAAGGACCGGACCAAAAAGATTATACGTTATTTTACACTACATTTATGCAAGAGCCTATTTTCTCGGCTGACATACTGTTACCATATCAACATCTTTACCCGTTAGTCAAAAGTTCTTTCAAACACAATGTATTTTAGATAATTACATTAGTAATTATTAGGCTAAGTTGGTCCACACGTTTGGTCTAGTCATTTTCACTATGAGACATAAATAAAAACACTACAAGGACTTTCAACTAGGTAAGACAAAGAAAGTCAACTAATTTCTAGAAAGCAATCAGTGATTTGACTTTATATAAATAAAAACACAATGGTGAGTCAAATATTGAAAATAAAAAAATTCAGATGTGTTTCCTTTTCATATAATATTGAAAAATTGTGCACAGGATCTCCTTCTCAGAGCTTTCAAGATTCAGAATTTGATAATCCAACTACTTAAGAAGTGGTAAAGCACAATTGAGCACTATACAAAAGCAAAATCAAGAAGTGAAAATGGGTAGCTGAAAAAAATGAATACAACTGAAAGGACAGGATCACTGAAGAAGTGGCTAGAAAGATAATACATGAGATGATTAATGGTGGGATCATTTCAAGGTTCCAAGAAAGATGGTTATGTACTTATCATTAATTGCTTATTTGTACTAGTACTACATTACTACTTCTATCTCATTTTATGTGGCAATTAATAGGGCGTAAAATTTAAGAAATAAAAAAAGACTTTGATTGACACTTAAGATATATATATATAAAGTACAAAATTATCTTACTATCAACAAATAAATGAAATGTGTGGAGAGTTCCACATGTCCTTCCATATTATCTCTTTGTGAGAAGGGGAACTCAGGGTTCTAACAAGTCGTGTCATAAGAGTAAATAAGAAATTAAATAGTTTATAAATATAGAAATACCACAATCTTTCTTGAACGGACCAAAAACTTAGGGGTCATTTGGTTGTTGATTAGAGTTACGCAAACATTAGTAATGTAGGAATTAGTTATGCAGAGTTTAGTTATGTTGAAATTGGTTATGCGTGATTAATTATGCGAGATTGAGTTATGCGAGAATTAGTTATGCAACGATTAACAAAATGTAATGTGAGTATTATTTATCTTTCGTCTAGTTTATCCTATTAAAATTGTTAGTATATAGTAAATATATATTTTTAAACAAAAAATATACAAGTTTGAATAGAAATTTTTATTATTTTTTATTTTAATACATGTATAAGTTATTTCATCTTCTACTCTGTATAAAATAATACATAGATTCCCTTATAACTATACATATATTAGTTACGCGGAAAAAAAAAATATAAACCAAATATTTTATTAGCAATACTATATTTTATGTGAAAAAAAAGAAGAAAATCAATCAAACATTATATAACTTATATTAGATTCTATGTGGAGAATATTTTTTCTTTTATTATTATAACCAAACGATGTATAAAATTATCCTAATTTTAATATATGAATAACTCATCTATAAAAGTGTACCGCATAAGATAGTACCGAGTGAGTAAATCTGTATCAAAGTAAACCGAATTTAACCAATTTTTATGAAGCATGGGCCTACTTTACTTTAAAGACTTTCACAAGTGTGAACAAGTTTTTGACAAATGTTTACTAAGTATATGTGTTGAAACTTGAAAGGGACTTCCAAATATAGAAAAGGTTTCAGCTTTTGTGGATCTAAAAAATTGTGATTTAATTACACACTTAAAATTTGTATGATTGGTTTATAGAAAGGGACACATCTATGGTCAGAGTAAGAAATATAATAGTGAGTCAAGCCCGCCATTGTTTAAGGGCCACTCGTGGGTTCTTTTATATCTTACTTCAATTATTATCAACACACGTACTACAATTATTTATATAAATAAATAAAGTGATTAAAGGAAGGGATGAATACACCTTAAAGAAAACCAAATAGGAGTAAGCATTGAATAAATGGCATAAACTCTAACATTTTAATTCTAAGCGCTCAGTATAGCTTTTTGCCTATAACAATACCCTCTTTGTAAAACTAATCCTGTATAATAGTCACGTGTAAAATCTCTAAGATCACCGATAATAAGTCTAGAGATTTTGATCAAATATCTTGAAAATTTAATGCGCCACTTATAATAAATAATATTATGTTAGTGCATACTTCCATAATAAGTATTTCATTCAGTTCCATTAAAAAATATGCTTGTATATTTTTGGATGTCCTTTTGCTGAAAGTATGGATACAAATCTTCGCTAATTCAAATGTTACATCGCCAGTAAGAGACTGAAAGCTATAAACAAGCTTCAATTACATTATTTCATTAATTTTAAAGAATTTAATATTCAAGCTGCTTTAAAAAATGTATGCCTTAAAGTTTAAAGGAAAAAGGCCCAAAAATGTCCTTGTGGTATTCGAAATGGATCAATTATAACCCCCCGTTTAAATTTGAATCCAAAAAGACTCTGCCGTTATAAAATGGGTCTAATAATGCCCTTGTATTATTCAAAATGGATCAATAATGCCCTGAATTTTTTATAAAAAAATACTTTTAAAAACCAAAAAATATATATTCTGTAAAAATAGAAAAAGAAAGGAATTTGCAAAATATATATTTTTAAGTCTTTTCAGTTTTTTAAAAGTATTTGTTTTGTAAAAACTGAATTTTTTTTTTAAGAAAGGGGGTTATTATTGATCCATTTTGAATAACACAAGGGCATTATTAGACCCATTTTATAATGGCAGGGTCATTTTTGGATTCAAATTTAAACGGAAGTTATAATTGATCCATTTCGAATACCACAAGGGCATTTTTGGGCTTGTGTACACTTTGTTATGGATTTATTAGTAATGTATTAGCTTTTTTAAATCTTTAATTAGTAAAATATGCATATGTTTTGAGATTTTAAATTTGATTAATTTTCTTATTTTTCATATGTAACATTAAAAAAGGAAAAAAAATGATTATTGGATAATTTTGTCTATAACAACCGAATAATATATAACCATCAAATGCTATTTTAAGTGTATAACAACTATTCATTATAAAAGTCAAAAAAATATTAGAATCAATAAAATCGTTATAGAGAGGTTTGATTGTATTACATAAATAAAATGATTAAAGAAAGGGTTGAATACCCCTTGAAGAAAAACAAATAGGAGTAAGCATTGAGTGGATGGCATAAACAAGACATCTTAAGATGAAATAACTGATTCATCATAAACAGAACGTTACTTAATTCTGAGCATAAACAGAACGTTACTTATTTCATTTTCTTAAATTTGGGACAATATTGGAATAAATCACACAAAGACCATATTGAAGAAATTTTGACGGCACAAGGACTTGCCTTACTTTTTAAGTTAGTGTACAATTGTCTTTCTATATAAAACCAACAAATTTCTTCTCTTTCTTGCTTTCTTTCTTTCTTTCTTTCTTGTAGGACAACATTATATTGGACTAGAATTGGTGTATAAGGAAATATCTTTTCATAACTAGATAAGACTAGGAACTAAGATTGGTACATTAGGATTATTGGAAACTTATACCCCCTCAATCGTCGTGTAGACAAATTTAGTGGTTTCATATTCCAAATTCACGTCGTATAAAATCATTATAGAAATTACCGGTCCATTTATAAGTAGTTTATTACAAAAAATGATCAATCCATTAAATATATTAATATTAACCAAATGCTATCAATATTAGTCAATTAGCTATTTGTAGCCATAAATGTCAAATTTTTGCTTTCTTTTTGGTGGACGTTATTAGAATAAATTGGGTACATCTTAAAGAGTTTGAATCTCAGTTTTGGGATGATTTGGCGGAGTTTTGAGATGGTTTGAATTGAAAATTCGAAGTAAAAGATTAAACATAAAAAACAAAGTGTATCATTTGTGTATCACGTATGTATCAAATGTGTATCACATGTTGTTGTGTGTGATATATGTTTGATACATGTGTCGCAAAAGAACATTTTGAACTCGATTTTAACTACAAATTTTGATAGCAAATTAGTCCAAATCACTTCCAATCTTTCTCAAAATATGTATATTGACTCATCTATATATTTTCAATAATTTTCAACCATACCTATTGAAAAAGGTTATTTTTGCTTAGATTTTTGGAATCTTGTACGTGTATATATATATATATATATAGACACACACACCTTGTTTGCTACCTCATTCATGAAATTTTCTTTCCGTCTTGCATCTAATGTTGATGATCACGCTTAAAAATATGGACGGAGATCTTTGCTTGTGATTCTTGGAGAGAAAAAATCTTATTTATTTGGGTTTTTAATTTTTATATGTTTGACTAATTTTAATAAATCTATGATTAATAACTAGAGGTTGGTAAATTGAAACTTATTTGGGACATTTAGGTAAGATTCCCGTTAAATATTTTGATCCAAAACATGTTGAGTGGGTTGTATCGAATATTGAATTGGATTTCACAATATATTTATTTACTATATATTATAATCTCCGTTCTCTAGTCTAAATATTTTGTTATACAAAAGCATTAAATAAGAAAGATTGTCTTTTTTATTCGTCAACTTCATTTTATGGGGATCGTATAAGATATGGTTCATATTTTATGACTAATTTACCCGTTAAGCATTTGTAACGATCCAGCTGGTCGTTTTGAGTATTATAACTCCATTTTCTCATTTACTGCTTAATTTATGCTTTACATTTATTATGTGACTTGCCGGGGGTAATTGGTTCGGGTCCGGTGAGATTTTTGAATGATTTGGAACACCTAGTTCCAAAGTTTCGAAATTTAATTGAAAATGTTGACCAGATGTTGACGTATGTGTAGTGACCCGGAGAATTTTTGCTAAGGAAAAATTAAGGTTTTGTGGTGTCGAGGTAGATCAATTAGTACAAAGGTTGTAGAAATTTCTCGCGGCGAGCTTGCGAGCCGTGGCTCGGACATTTTGGGTTGAACAATGCATCGGGAAGTAAGAAAAAAATTAGCGAAAAAACGTATTTCTGCGGTCCATTATGCGACCGCATAAT